GACCCATGGGACCACGGCCCAGGCCGCGGGAGGGGAACGACACCGTAGAGGGGTATCGCTAGCATCCCCCCTCGCCCCTCACCGCCACAGTCCCCACCATTACCCTTCACCATCCTTCCGCGTCGCCGCTCCCTCATCCGCGCATGGCTCTCCCTTATTCAATTATATTTCTCTACGGTAAATGCCCATATTGTTACGTTTATCAATGGCTGGATGGACGAGACTTGCTTGGCTCGATAATATTGCCTAAATTCTATGCACCCTTTGCACTTTTTTTACGTACCCCCTGCACGGACACCCCGCCCCCTTCTTACATGGCCATACGCGCGCACCCTCGTCCCTCGTTGCTGCCCTTCGTTGTTTCTCATTCCACTGTTACCGTAGCCGTGGTCGTCACCACCGCCGACGCCGCCGTCGCCGCCGCCACCAGCATCAGATTCACCACCCCATCACTCCCCAATGAGTATTTAGTGTACATCCCTGAGTAATTTTTTTTGTCCATAGCCGTTTTGTAATGGCAATGGCTTCCTACACCTCGTGCCTACATCTAACTGTTGATCTTTTCTCGCCTTTATTATCATCCCGTCTCCATTTGTCACGTGTACATTGTGCGCGGATCGGATGTGTGTATACCAGTTGCGGAAAGAAAATATAGTCGCTTTTAACATTTTCTTCTCGTTACTTTGGCGCCTGACGCTTACATACCACATTAAGCTATTAATTATTATTATTTTTTTTTTAATTTTATAATGAGCTCTTTAGATTGTCAACTGTTGCTAAATCATCAAATTAAAACTTTTCTATTCATCTTGACAATGGTATCGAAATTTTTAGAGATTAAAAAAATACAAAAAACAAAAACAATAAAAGACGAAGAAAGAGAGAGAGAGAGAGAGAGAGAGAGAGAGAGAGAGAGATGAAAGCAAATGCAAGAAATAAATATGGGGAAAAAACGATTCCTACGCGTTCACAGGCCGTTACTCAACTAAAAAGACGAGAATGATAGAATAATTTTTATAAAGATTCGTATAACTGAGCATCAGAAAAAAACTCATTGCAAAGGTGATTCCTGATTTAGCTACTTTAAATACAAAATCAGACAACCTGTCCCATATATATGAAATTATATTAATACAATATTCAATGACGATAATTTCGGATATTTGCCATTGCGTGCCCGTTATTTATAAAACAAACGTCGCTTTAATATTAGTATACTTGAAACAGTATTTATAAATAAATATATTTATTTTTCTCTGGGTAGTGCGCAATTTGGTAACGATTGTTCTTACATAACGAAATTAGGAAAAAATGTCCTATTAAATACTATGTAATTAGAAGGTAAATGGGAGGAAGAGTTTTAAAAATAGACGAAGCAAAAGGAAAAATCGGGATATTCTGAATTACTTCCTAAATAGAAAAAATAATGGGTCTGAAGTAGCCATAGCATTTAAAAGGTAATTGCATAAGACTTGGAATGACTGGACAGTTTTTTTTCTCTCCTATTATTTTTCTGCATGATCATTGTTGGTGGGGATAATAAACTTCTGGTAAATTCTGTTTTTCTTGGCTGCGAATGAAAAAATATCCGCCATGGACGTGTCGAGGATAAACATATTTTGCTAGCTCTTTCCTGCTCCGAATCGCACGAACTTGCATATCAATAATGCCACAAGTTATCGCGGAAAATCCAATATTTATCTTGCAACATCTGGCACTGGTTTTGCGCGACGTTGAGAAAAGTCAATTACAATGCAATTTAACGGCTCGATTAATTTTCCCGCAATCGACAAAAAGATTCCCGCTCTCCATGCTATTACCAACATATTTGAATCAAATGTCTTGTAGCCGAACAGACTCTTTTCTTCCGCGAGCGACTCCTTCTCGACGGCTAATTTATTCGCGTGCACTCGTATGCCAGGCAACACAAGGCCAACATTCGCGTACTCGCATAATTGCTTTATAAATTGTCGCGTATTGTTCAAGGAAGTAAATTAGCCATTAATATAATAAGCAATGGAGGGCAATGATCGAGCCCGGGGTGGTGCTTCCCGGCTGATCGTTGCTCGTGTCGAATCTCGCCGATCAAAGCACGGGTGTCCCCGTGTCCACGAGACCGTTCTCCTCGGCATCCTCGAGCGCACCGACCTAAGGCGCGTGAAATCTTCCTTCTCTCTCGCTTGCTCTTTCTCGAGACCCTATCGTGCTAAGAAATCAATTTGCTCCGAGGCGCGAACGTGTAGAGGGTAAGATTTTTATTGTCAGCCGTTATCCGCATATCGGATTCACGATGCATCGCGCAACGCGTGTAATGTTCCATCGTTTCTCCGACTCTGCTGTATTTGCCTATGCCCTCCGCCACAGCTACTCTCACCTTCTCACTCACACTCTATCTATCCATCTATCCATCTATAGATCTATCTATCCATCCATCTATCCATACATCCATCTATCCATCCATTCATCTATCCATCCATCCATCCATCCATCCATCCATCTATCCATCCATCCATCCATCTATCTACCCATCTATCTATCTATCTATCTATTTACGGCTCAGGGCCAAAAATAACGAGTTTGCAATGGAAAAAGTAATGCAATTGACAGGAACGCTTGGCGCTGGGCTAACGCGGACGTCTCTGCTAATTGAAAATCAAATCGCCCTCTCATGATTAATCGTCGACTGTGTTGCGCAAGCTCTCGGGCATCCGCGTATCTCGCGAGGCGAGAAAAAATAGCGCTAATGACCTGGAGAGAGATTTCGAAAAGTCCGGCCAGCGCGTCGAGACACTTCCGCTTGGGACTTTCTCTCATGGCCATTCTGCTGCGACCAATGGACACATTACGCGTACGCGTATACACGTACACGCGCCGGGGTGTATAGAAAGTGGTCTATAACCGCGGTTATCGTAAAATACATCTCATTATGCTGCAGTGCGGAGACGCGTACGCGCATAGGCACCGCGAGAAATCCGAAACTACGGCGCGGAATATCTATCATTATGCCACCGATTCATTAAATCCTATTAGTTGGGTAAGAAACGCATAAATATAATACAGCGGGCTTGGTCGAACGGAATCGATGCCGCTCGCTAATAATACTTTACAATTAGGAATAATCATTGGCTTTTATAAATTCATTCCGTTTTTAGGATAGGAGATTTAATGCAGCATTTCATTGTAAATGAACTCGTTATGGTGGAGATTCCGTGTCAAGAGTTAAACGTCTCTGCGTGTATTTTGTTTTTTTTTACCAACTTTTCATTAGTACGATATTGGTATTTTACGGGGGGGGGGGGGTGGGGGTATGCATCGCTTTCATTTTGCATTTAACGCTTCAAAGAATTGGATCGAAAGTTGATAAATACGAAATGGCGTGGACGAGAGGCCGCCAATGGATACATTTTAGAAATATTTTACAGTCTAATCCCAATTTGATACTCGTGTGAAGCAAATCTTGAAATAAAGACTGGATAGAGAGATAGATAGATAGAGAGAAAGTGAGAGAGAGAGAGAGAGAGAGAGAGAGAGAGAGAGACAAACAGACAGACAGACAAACAGACAGACAGACAGACAGACAGACAGACTCACAGACAGAGATTGCTTGTATGTTGAGTTTGGCTCCGTGCGTGCGTGTGTTTGTATTCGTACGCGCTGAGGTATAAGGCTCGCATAAGGTCCCAACGTAATTCACAACAAAATTCAATCGCCTAAATGCCAGATTCAAGTTGGCTTTTTATTACTATTAAGATATAATTCTTTGCATCTACATGACTGTAAAATTGACTTGCGTTTTCAATTCGCGTGACGCATAATGCTCGATCGTCGTGACAAACGTTCAAGTCGCAAAAGCAACATCCTTCGAGTCGCCATCATGTCATTTTAGTCCCAATGATTCGGATGATTTTATGCTGCGTGGGGCTCGACATCTCGTATTACCGATGACTCATCGGAGGCACTTTGTCCAGCAGATTTGCTCGAAATCGGCATCGAGCATCGCTTAAGTCGATCTCGGCATCTCAATAGACATCGACGACGGGCCGTCAATCTCGATAAATTATTTCAATCGCAGACAAAAATCATAGGCGTTAAAAAGGATCGGTGGACCCACGATGCAGCGGCTACCTCGGCGCATAAAACAGCCGCGCGCATAAACTAGGCAACAAAAATACAAGTTCTGGTCGGTGTTTTGGTACGAGTGTGACGAGAAATCATTAGGCGGCCGCCGGTACCCCGAGAAACTCTTGTCCTCGAGTCCATTGAAAACGGGCATAATAATACCCATAAAAATGAACATTTTACAACAAGAGTTACAAGCTACAGATCTCTCCCAACATGTGTCAAGTAAAATGTATCGCACCCGAGTTACAAGATCTTTTATCAAGGCCGACGGACTGTTGTCACTTGCCGCGACCGTATTTACAATGTGCCGCATTTAATCCTGAACAAGGAGTTTTCGAATTCCTTGTTCCAAGTCACGGTCGTTTAGTGGACAAATAAATCCGATTGTCCCTGTATTTCCCATTTAATGGATGCAAATGCGAGGCTGACCGTTAATCCATCAACGACGGTTTCTGATTAAATCTGGTTAAATCAGTCCGACGATTATCGAGGGAGGAAAGCTCGCGCAAGCTCCGAGACGGTGGGGACTATCGCGGACACCACACAACATGATCTGACTGTTCTCGTATCAACGATCAACTACTGTGAATTTAATCCGCGATATGACCTTGGCGAGATTATCCGAGTGCACGCGGGGCATCATAAGTCCTGATGTATGCTTGTGTGACTGCTGTGCTGCTGCTGCCTTAGGTGTGCATGTGTGTGGGTACGGGGATGGGTGTTTCAGGTAGTGTGCGAGGACTCACCTTGAGGGTGCAGTTGTTGTTGTGGTTGACGGGCGGGTAGCCGGTCATGTGGCCGGGTAGGTGGGGGTGCTGATAGGGCCGGTGATGTGGCTGGTCCTGGGCCTGCTGCATCATCGCCTGGGCGGCTGCGTGATGATGGCCGTTGCTCGGCATCGCCTGGGCCTGCTGGTGGCCCGGGTAGCCCTGGGGCCCGTCCTGTGGGCCCGCGCCGTACGGGGGCGAGTGGGGACTCGGGTCAGGGGTCGAAGCCGTCCCGTTGCCGCTCGTCGATGAGCCGTAGCCGTGGTGGGGCTCGCCGGGCGGGTGGTGCGGGCTACCCGCCAGCGACGGGTGGTGGGGGTAGGGGTTCATACCGGCGGCTAAGGCGCTCGCCAGCTTGGCCGATGGGAGGGGGCGGGCCGGGGTAGCCCACCACTTGCCTCGTGCCGGAAAATACGTGGGCCTTCAGCGGCTCGTCCTCGTCGTACACCAGGTCCTTGCCCGATGCGTGCTGCTGCTACCTGCCTTCGACGATCCCTGTGAACACGAATGGCGCGCAGAGGCGAGAGTTATGGCGTTGGTTTTTCCCTTGTCGTCGGTCGTCACGTGGACCGGGAACGCCGGGCGATTAGGTCGGTGCGCCACGGCCCGGCCCAGTGACGGATTTTTATTTCTTTAGCACCGGCGGCGGCGGCGGCGGCCGATGACGCCCCCGAATTAAATCGTTATGTCCGAGGAGGGTCAGCGATTCATTCAATGCTCATCGTTCGTAATTGTAGGGTATTTTGGGGAGGCGATAATGAGCGACTGGAAGATGTTTATTTTTCTATGAATGCAAAAATAGGCAACCGGTAAACGGCCTAGAATATTTCGTTTTCGTTTCTATTATAACATATTATATATATATATATAGCGGAACGATAATATTTCGAATAAGTAGGGATTGAAGGTATGAGTTATTGAAATGGCATATCGGACGGACGGACGGACGGACCTCGTTTTCGTATTTCATCCTCCTTAGCAACTGTATTCAATTTTCATTTCACCAGGACTGCTGGGCAATCGAATGCAATAAGGTATTTCAAATTAGCAAATTGCAAAATATTAAACAACTTTTCAGCAATGCTAATGAAACGAGATTAAAGCAGTTGAGTTTCAAAGTGGTAAAATTTAATTACGCGCTCAGAAGCGTGCAGGCGGAAAATGAAGTGGGAGTTCACTACAAATATCGTACTATTGGCAAGGATAACAAATGGGAAAGAAAATAGTTAAATAAAATGCGAACGGAAGGATACTGGAAAAGTAGGAAAATGAATGGGGTCGTAGATGTTATGGGCAGTAGTTTGAAATTCTAATAGGCGCTATCAGTTAACAGCGAATCACGGACGCTGGGTCAGTCAATATGACAGGCATTTATCTGTTAATTTACCTGCGAACCATCTGAACGAGCATTAAAATTTAGCACGCGTAATACCGAAGTTAGGCTCGACTATTAAAAAATTAGCGAACGTTTGCCAACGGCACGTGACCGAATCCCT